TCTCACTGCTTCCTCGGCAGCTGCAGGCACACTTCATCCACTTCCCACCAAAGGCCTCAGACCTAAGGATTATCATTTCCATCTCACTGATGGCAAATAGAGGGTCCGAGAGGGGACGTGACGGGTCCAAAGCCCCCGAGGAAGTGGCACCCTGCTTCTCTAGAGGAGAGAACGCTCAACCCATTCCCATGTCCAGAACACTTCCATCAACAATGTTCCTGTGACCTGCTCCAGGACCCTGTGAGATGGATATTAATGGCCATGCTGCTTCACAAATGCAGGCTCCAGGAGAAATCCCTGCATTCCCACTGCAGCTCTGTTCTCTTTTTCCAGAACCTTCTTTGGAATGACAAAGGAGTCTGCCTCTCCCACCTCATAAACTGTGAGGGGGGGGGGGCAAGAGGGAGATCCGTTCGGAACCAGGTTGCCCTTTCCAATTACAAAAGCCTTTAGGGGTTTGATTCACCAAGCCACCCTCAAGACCACAAGAATGTATGACTCCTCCAAAAACACCCAAATAAGTCTCCGGAAGTATCTTAGGTCGTCAGAATCCAGCTCCATAAAACACATAAATACATTTAAAATAGCAGTAAAATATTTCCACTCTTCTTTCTTTTTATGACTTTGAATACGCTCTAAATAGAAATGCTGGCAGCCCCCCCCCAGCCGCCCCTTTAATAGAGCTATTTATATTTAACTCACGCGGATATAAATAGAAGCACAGGAGGCTCACGCACCAGATTTTGGTTTATTTGCTTTCAACCTCAGCGCCAGACAGCCCTGATTTTGTTCTGACAACAAAAATAAAGAGGGACATGAGTGTTCTCACCTCCTCTTTGGCTTCCGGCTCCCCAGCTCTCCTGGTCTCTTTTCTCCCATCTGGAGGCATCTGAGAGCATCCCGGGGGGAAGGAGAGGTGTCCAGTGGCTCGGTTTCTCCAGGGAGGACAAGGAGGAGCACTTGTGGCGGTCACTACAGTGGGACTGTAGGAAAACGCCACTGTCACAGATGAGGGTGGACATGCAAAGAAACGTTCTTCTTTCTTCTCGTGAAAGCTGCCCAAACCTCCCCCACCGCAGCCCCCTCCAGCACCCCCACCTTGTTTAGATTTGGGGCTCTGGAAGGAAATGGATTTCTTTTGACATTTAATAATGTCTGTGGACATGCAACATCCCTGCTCGGGCTTTGTATTTTTTTTTTTTTTAAATGATGTAAGTTCTGTAACTGATACCAGTTGTCATCAAACATCATAAAAGCCAATCATGCCTCAAGTCATCAATATTTATTGTCCCCAGTAGGGGAGAGACTGTTTTTGGTTTGGGGCAGATGGGTTTAATTTTTAAGTGGAAGAGTTAAAGCAGACACACCTAGTATAAAATATCAACCCGCAAAGGATCTGCCGACATGGGGCGATTGAGATGTTCAGCCCCCTGAAAGGAAGAGGGTGGGAGACAGATGCGGTAGGAGGAGGGAGATGGAGGAGGGTCCTCGCCCGGAGGAGGAGGGTGCAGGGTGTGGGCAAGGGGAGAGGGGTGAGAAGAAAGCCATTGCATGCTCCCCTGCTCCTGGAGAGTGAGACCAGAAAGACCCCACGATGTGGGGACCACGTTGCTCAGATAGTGGACAGAACGTGGCTACCAAGACGTGAGAGGAGACCAAACGGAGGCAGGAGAAGACCACGTGGTGGGAGAAGGACAGGAGGGCAGTGTGAGAGGTGGGGACCAAAAGTGAGAGAGGACAAAGGGGAAACCGAGGAAAGGAATTAAAAGTTCAAGAGACAGTGAAACAAAGGAGACATTGAGAGACAGAGAGAGAGAGAGAGGGAGGGAGCGAGCTAGTGGAGAGGAAATGTCAGGAGATTCACCCTGGGGCTGGCCGGGGTGGCAGGGCCTGGCAGGGGGCCTGGCAGGGGACCTGCTAGCCTGTTGAGGGCATGGGAGGCTTTGGGCAGGCCTGTCCCAACCAGAGCCGGTCAGGAGCCGTCCAGTTTGGTCTTCAACACCCGCCTGCCTGTCTGTGTGTCTTTCTCGCTCAGAAGTCCCTGTCTTTCCTGGTGGGGTTCTAGAGGGCTCTAGAATCTTCTCTCGCCCACCCTGTGCATGGAATTTGCACCGAGGTATCAACGACTCATGAGACTTGATGAGCTACTTCTGACTGGGATGAGGTTTTGAGTTCTAATGACAAACCCCAAGACCTCTGCCAGCCAAGTGGGGAGACTATAGGTCATGTAAAGCTGGTGGCTGGCGTCTTGTCCCACAGACGAGTCCCCCTCGGCCTCCTGAACACTCTGATGGGCGCATACTCCAGAGACCAAAGTTCTTCATGGAGTAACAGGCTGGAGAAGGACAGGTCGGCCTTGGGCCTAGAGGGTCCAGGGCAAAACTTGGCCCCTGAGGCCTCTGCTGGGCACCTGCTAAGCAGACTAGAAAGGGGGCCCTCCGGAGGCAGGGGAGGAGGAACCTGGCCCTCTGTCTTTGGGGGTCAGTGGAACTCTTGAAGCCACCCGTACTTGGGAGCGAGGAGGTATCAGGAGCGGACTCGCTGCTCGGCAGTGTCCTTAAACGCCCACCTTCTGCCCACACTGGCTTTTGTGTTGACGTCAAAGTCGGAGGGAAGAAAGGAAGAGGGGAGGAAAAACCTTAACAAAGAGAGTTTTCAAAAAAGCTCCTGGCAAAAAATAAATAGGTCAAACCTCAAAGCAGCCCAGCACACTCCTCCTGATGGTCCAGCCCACCGGTTGCATTGTGAGACTGCAGGACCTGGTATTTATATAACCTGGCCTGTGAGACAGAAGAGGCAGGGAGGTCCCCCGCAGAGGGCCCCAGAGCACGGTGGCGGAAGCACCAGGAGACCCAGGTGGAGCAGCTCACAGAGTCACCTGGGGCTGGGTGTTCACGTTCGTTCCCACCACCCTACGACCGACCTGCATGTGTCCCACCTGGGCATTGCCAAGCGGAAAGACCCTGCACTTGGCATCCGCTGCATCCCACCTGGACAAACAGCAGGACCCGAATGCCACCGCTGTCTCTCCTATTGGCCTGTATCCAGGCAGCCCTTGGAGACGCCCTGCAGTCCACTCAGGGCTCCATCTGGCTCCCCTGGCAATGGCTCCTTGCTCTTCCTGCCCAAAGACCCATCTAGAAATCCAGAGCTCTTGGTGGCATGGCTGCCGAGCCTGGTCTGTCTCCGGAGGACATCGGGTCCTTGTACGTCTGGAGAACACGCTCACTGTGCACTGCTCATCTGCATCTTCCCCACATCCTGGCCAACACTCAGTTTCTTCTTTCTCACTTTTCCAGTTTTTACCAAGGGCATCCCATTGCTATTTTAATGTAAAGGCATCCCATTGCTATTTTACTTTGAGCTTAAACAGTTCTTCCTAAATGTATTAGCTATTTAGTTTCCTTCCTCCCCTTTCTCCCCTTAGCTCTCTTGCTTTTGTCCTGCTGATCAGTAGAATCTTATATTCTAGGGTCTCTTCCTCTGCTGCTCTCCACGGTGTTCAATCTCCTGCCCATTGGTTAACTGTGGCGCTAGTGGCCATGTTTGAACAGATATTTTTAATTTGGGCGTTTTTCAAGTTCACCAGTTTTTTGTCCTGCGGTTTATGCTTTTGGGGTC